CTTCCCAGCCACCATCAACTGGCCAAAATTACTGGTAATTTTGCAAATGAGTTTCCGATAGATCTGAAGCGAATATACCAAGCAGTTCCTGCATATATGTGGGCTGGCTTCCACATGTTTATGTTATATGAAAACAATTGACATTCAATTAAGGATTTTTGGTGTTTTAGACCTGAAAAAAGTTTCTTTAAGTGAATTTATTTGTTGTATTTGTTGAGGTCGCTTGTATTCACTTGCTCACATACTCACATCTTTTTCATGCACTCATTCATCATGTTTGCAAGTTACTCACCTTCCTCACTTCCTTATATTTATATTTAAAATTTATTCAGTTTAAATTTAGAAAGTTAATATAAGTTCTGAAGGAGTAGATTTATATTTAACTTCCCCAAATGCGCTATTTTCACTTGTTCAATAAATTTCCATTATCCATTATTGTGGACCCAATTTTTTATTAATTAATTTATTATTCTTTATTTTGGACAAAATTTGTCATTAGGCATTTTATTATTCAATACTATGGAGAATTTTTTTTTAATATGAACACACAATTTGTAATTGTATTTGTCTCTATTAGGTATACTGACTTTTGAACTTTACACGTTTGTGGCTGAACACAACACTGCATGGCTGTGTGTGGCTGAACACAACACTCCATGGCTGTGTGTGGCTGAACACAACACTCCATGGCTGTGTGTGGCTGAACACAACACTCCATGGCTGTGTGTGGCTGAACACAACACTCCATGGCTGTGTGTGGCTGAACACAACACTCCATGGCTGTGTGTGGTTGAACACAACACTCCATGGCTGTGTGTGGCTGAACACAACACTGCATGGCTGTGTGTGGCTGAACACAACTCTGCATGGCTGTGTGTGGCTGAACACAACTCTGCATGGCTGTGTGTGGTTGAACACAACACTCCATGGCTGTGTGTGGCTGAACACAACACTGCATGGCTGTGTGTGGCTGAACACAACTCTGCATGGCTGTGTGTGGTTGAACACAACACTGCATGGCTGTGTGTGGCTGAACACAACACTCCATGGCTGTGTGTGGCTGAACACAACACTGCATGGCTGTGTGTGGCTGAACACAACACTCCATGGCTGTGTGTGGCTGAACACAACACTGCATGGCTGTGTATAACTGAACACAACACTCCATGGCTGTGTGTGGCTGAACACAACACTCCATGGCTGTGTGTGGCTGAACACAACTCTGCATGGCTGTGTGTGGCTGAACACAACACTCCATGGCTGTGTGTGGCTGAACACAACACTCCATGGCTGTGTATAACTGAACATAACACTCCATGGCTGTGTGTGGCTGAACACAACACTCCATGGCTGTGTGTGGCTGAACATAACACTCCATGGCTGTGTATAACTGAACATAACACTCCATGGCTGTGTGTGGCTGAACACAACACTGCATGGCTGTGTGTGGCTGAACACAACTCTGCATGGCTGTGTGTGGCTGAACACAAAACTCCATGGCTGTGTGTGGTTGAACACAACACTGGGTGGCTGTGTGTGGCTGAACACAACACTGGGTGGCTGTGTGTGGCTGAACATAACACTTTATGGCTGTGTGTGGCTGAACACAACACTGCATGGCTGTGTGTGGCTGAACACAACTCTGCATGGCTGTGTGTGGCTGAACATAACACTCCATGGCTGTGTGTGGCTGAACATAACACTCCATGGCTGTGTGTGGCTGAACACAAAACTGCATGGCTGTGCGTGGCTGAACACAACACTGCATGGCTGTGTGTGGCTGAACACAACTCTGCATGGCTGTGTGTGGCTGAACATAACACTCCATGGCTGTGTGTGGCTGAACACAACACTGGGTGGCTGTGTGTGGCTGAACACAACACTGGGTGGCTGTGTGTGGCTGAACATAACACTTTATGGCTGTGTGTGGCTGAACACAACACTGCATGGCTGTGTGTGGCTGAACACAACTCTGCATGGCTGTGTGTGGCTGAACATAACACTCCATGGCTGTGTGTGGCTGAACACAACACTGCATGGCTGTGTATGGCTGAACACAACACTGCATGGCTGTGTATAACTGAACATAACACTCCATGGCTGTGTGTGGCTGAATACAACACTGCATGGCTGTGTGTGGCTGAACACAACTCTGCATGGCTGTGTATAACTGAACATAACACTCCATGGCTGTGTGTGGCTGAACACAACACTTTATGGCTGTGTGTGACTGAACACAACACTGCATGGCTGTGTGTGGCTGAACACAACACTGCATGGCTGTGTGTGGTTGAACACAACACTGCATGGCTGTGTGTGGTTGAACACAACACTGCATGGCTGTGTGTGGTTGAACACAACTCTGCATGGCTGTGTGTGGCTGAACACAACACTGCATGGCTGTGTGTGGCTGAACACAACACTGCATGGCTGTGTGTGGCTGAACACAACACTGCAAGGCTGTGTGTGGCTGAACATAACACTCCATGGCTGTGTGTGGTTGAACACAACTCTGCATGGCTGTGTGTGGCTGAACACAACACTGCATGGCTGTGTGTGGCTGAACATAACACTTTATGGGTGTGTGTGGTTGAACACAACTCTGCATGGCTGTGTGTGTCTGAACATAACACTCCATGGCTGTGTGTGGCTGAACACAACACTCCATGGCTGTGTGTGGCTGAACACAACACTGCATGGCTGTGTGTGGCTGAACACATCTCTGCATGGCTGTGTGTGGCTGAACACAACTCTGCATGGCTGTGTGTGGCTGAAAATAACACTCCATGGCTGTGTGTGACTGAACACAACACTCCATGGCAGTGTGTGGCTGAACACAACACTACATGGCTGTGTGTGGCTGAACACAACACTGCATGGCTGTGTGTGGCTGAACACAACACTCCATGGCAGTGTGTGGCTGAACACAACACTACATGGCTGTGTGTGGCTGAACACAACACTGCATGGCTGTGTGTGGCTGAACACAACACTACATGGCTGTGTGTGGCTGAACACAACACTGCATGGCTGTGTGTGGCTGAACATAACACTCCATGGCTGTGTGTGGCTGAACACAACACTTTATGGCTGTGTGTGGCTGAACACAACACTACATGGCTGTGTGTGGCTGAACACAACACTGCATGGCTGTGTGTGGTTGAACACAACTCTGCATGGCTGTGTGTGGCTGAACACAACACTCCATGGCTGTGTGTGGCTGAACACAACACTCCATGGCTGTGTGTGGCTGAACACAACACTGCATGGCTGTGTGTGGCTGAACACAACACTCCATGGCTGTGTGTGGCTGAACACAACACTACATGGCTGTGTGTGGCTGAACACAACACTGCATGGCTGTGTGTGGCTGAACACAACACTGCTTGGCTGTGTGTGGCTGAACATAACACTCCATGGCTGTGTGTGGCTGAACACAACACTCCATGGCTGTGTGTGGCTGAACATAACACTCCATGGCTGTGTGTGGCTGAACACAACACTACATGGCTGTGTGTGGCTGAACACAACACTGCATGGCTGTGTGTGGCTGAACATAACACTTTATGGCTGTGTGTGGTTGAACACAACTCTGCATGGCTGTGTGTGGCTGAACACAACACTGCATGGCTGTGTGTGGCTGAACACAACTCTGCATAGCTGTGTGTGGCTGAACACAACACTGCATGGCTGTGTGTGGCTGAACATAACACTCCATGGCTGTGTGTGGCTGAACACAACACTTTATGGCTGTGTGTGGCTGAACACAACACTGCATGGTTGTGTGTGGCTGAACACAACTCTGCATGGCTGTGTGTGGCTGAACACAACACTGCATGGCTGTGTGTGGCTGAACACAACACTGCATGGCTGTGTGTGGCTGAACACAACTCTGCATGCCGGTGTGTGGCTGAACACAACACTGCATGGCTGTGTGTGGCTGAACACAACACTGCATGGCTGTGTGTGGCTGAACATAACACTCCATGGCTGTGTGTGGCTGAACACAACACTACATGGCTGTGTGTGGCTGAACACAACACTGCATGGCTGTGTGTGGCTGAACATAACACTGCATGGCTGTGTGTGGTTGAACACAACTCTGCATGGCTGTGTGTGGCTGAACACAACACTGCATGGCTGTGTGTGGCTGAACACAACTCTGCATGGCTGTGTGTGGCTGAACACAACACTGCATGGCTGTGTGTGGCTGAACATAACACTCCATGGCTGTGTGTGGCTGAACACAACACTTTATGGCTGTGTGTGGCTGAACACAACACTGCATGGTTGTGTGTGGCTGAACACAACTCTGCATGGCTGTGTGTGGCTGAACACAACACTGCATGGCTGTGTGTGGCTGAACACAACACTGCATGGCTGTGTGTGGCTGAACACAACTCTGCATGCCGGTGTGTGGCTGAACACAACACTGCATGGCTGTGTGTGGCTGAACACAACACTGCATGGCTGTGTGTGGCTGAACATAACACTCCATGGCTGTGTGTGGCTGAACACAACACTTTATGGCTGTGTGTGGCTGAACACAACACTGCATGGTTGTGTGTGGCTGAACACAACTCTGCATGGCTGTGTGTGGCTGAACACAACACTGCATGGCTGTGTGTGGCTGAACACAACACTGCATGGCTGTGTGTGGCTGAACACAACACTCCATGGCTGTGTGTGGCTGAACACAACACTCCATGGCTGTGTGTGGCTGAACACAACTCTGCATTGCTGTGTGTGGCTGAACACAACACTCCATGGCTGTGTGTGGTTTAACAGATTGTCCACATATTACAGCTCCTTGTCCCTCATATCCCAGCTCCTTGTCCTCATATCCCAGCTTCTGGTCGTCATATCCTAGCTCCTTGTCCTCATATCCCAGCTCCTTGTCGTCCAATCCCAGCTCCTTGTCCTCATATCCCAGCACCTTGACCTCATATCCCAGCACCTTGACCTCATATCCCAGCTGCTTGAATTCATATTCATACTCCATGTTCTCGTATCTTTCAATAAACCTCAAGGCTCTAGGAAACCCCAAGGCTCTAGGGAACCCCAAGGCTCTAGGGAACCCCAAGGCTCTAGGGAACCCCAAGGCTCTAGGGAACCCCAAGACTCTAGGAAACCCCAAGGCTCTAGGGAACCCCAAGGCTCTAGGAAACCCCAAGGCTCAAGGTAACCCTAAGGCTCTAGGGAACCCCAAGGCTCTAGGGAACCCCAAGGCTCTATGAAACCACAAGGCTCTAGGAAACCCCAAGGCTCTAGGAAACCCCAAGGCTCTAGGTAACCCCACGGCTCTAGGGAACCCCAAGGCTCTAGGAAACCCCAATGCTCTAGGTAACCCCAAGGATCTAGGAAACCCCAAGGCTCTAGGTAACCCCAAGGCTCTAAGTAACCCCAAGGCTCTAGGAAACCCCAAGACTCTAGGAAACCCCAATGCTCTAGGAAACCCCATGGCTCTAGGTAACCCCAAGGCTCTAAGTAACCCCAAGGCTCTAGGAAACCCCAAGACTCTAGGAAACCCCAATGCTCTAGGAAACCCCAAGACTCTAGGAAACCCCAATGCTCTAGGAAACCCCAAGACTCTAGGAAACCCCAAGGCTCTAGGAAACCCCAATGCTCTAGGAAACCCCAATGCTCTAGGAAACCCCAAGGCTCTAGGAAACCCCAATGCTCTAGGAAACCCCAAGGCTCTAGGAAACCCCAAGACTCTAGGAAACCCCAAGGCTCTAGGAAACCCCAATGCTCTAGGAAACCCCAAGACTCTAGGAAACCCCAATGCTCTAGGAAACCCCAATGCTCTAGGAAACCCCAAGACTCTAGGAAACCCCAAGACTCTAGGAAACCCCAATGCTCTAGGAAACCCCAAGACTCTAGGAAACCCCAATGCTCTAGGAAACCCCAATGCTCTAGGAAACCCCAATGCTCTAGGAAACCCCAAGACTCTAGGAAACCCCAATGCTCTAGGAAACCCCAAGACTCTAGGAAACCCCAAGGCTCTAGGAAACCCCAATGCTCTAGGAAACCCCAAGACTCTAGGAAACCCCAATGCTCTAGGAAACCCCAAGGCTCTAGGAAACCCCAAGGCTCTAGGAAACCCCAATGCTCTAGGAAACCCCAAGGCTCTAGGAAACCCCAAGGCTCTAGGAAACCCCAAGGCTCTAGGAAACCCCAATGCTCTAGGTAACCCCAAGGCTCTAGGAAACCCCAAGGCTCTAGGAAACCCCAATGCTCTAGGTAACCCCAAGGCTCTAGGTAACTCTCAAAGTCTCTTTCTCAAACCAATTTACCACAACGTCGCTCTAAGATTTTCCTCCACACATAAGTCGATCCTGTGA